TATTTCTAATGTGATTTCTGCCTCAGTCACATGGTAGTAAATGTTTCCAATAGTTGCCCAAAGTTAAATGACGTATGTTAAATACTCCTATTGTTCCACATGTGTTACTATGTAAACCTGTTACTGTTAACAAAAGTGTGAATGAATAATGTGGAATAAATGTACCCTGATTGTTTACTGTGTGTGTTCCATATGTTCTGGTTTAAAGAGAGCCTTTAAAGTTGTTGCAGATTTTCATAACCCATGCTGAGACTGGCTCAGAGGTAGGCCAGCATTGTAGTGTCTAGTGAATCCATGTCTGGAGAAATTGTGTTTTGCTACCAATTCAGAAAATTACAATAGCTAAAACAGTTTGATTCTGGTCTCAGCAAGTACCCCTTTTTCTAAGATAACACTTTGGCTGTGTCTACACTGCACTCCTTTTCCGGAAAAGGGATGCAGATGAGACAAGTTGGAATTGCAAATGAAGCAGGGGATTTAAATATCCCCCACTGCATTTGCATGAACATGGCTGCTGTTTTTTTCCGACTCGGGGCTTTGCCGGAAAAAAGCGCCAGTCTAGACAGGGATCTTTCGGAAAATAAAGCCTTTTCCGAAAAGTCCCTTATTCCTTTAGGGACCTTTCAGAAAAGGCTTTATTTTCCGAAAGATCCCTGTCTAGACTGGCGCTTTTTTCCGGCAAAGCCCCGAGTCGGAAAAAAACAGCAGCCATGTTCATGCAAATGCAGTGGGGGATATTTAAATCCCCTGCTTCATTTGCAATTCCAACTTGTCTCATCTGCATCCCTTTTTCGGAAAAGGGGTGCAGTCTAGACACTTAAGTCTGAAGATGTTACTTTCTTTTACCAGCATTAACAAATAATTTAGTTTAGCATAGCAAACATGTTCTTCAAGTGATGTCCCCATGGGCGCTCCACTGTGGGTGTTGCATCCGTCCTGGTGCTGCTGCAAATCGGAGATTTTTCAGGCAGTATCTGGTCTGGCTGGGCATGCGCATTGGGGCACATGCCATTTGTACTCACAGACCATCCCCTCACAGTTCCTTCATTGGTCGCAGACAGAGCTCAACCCCTCTCCTCTACTTTTTGTTCTTGTAAAGGAGAATAGAGGTTGGCGAGTTTAGTTTAAAAATTGTTTTAGTTTCTTTGATCAGAATGTTTTAAAAAAAGAAAGACACACAGACTTTTCCTCATGTAAATAGTTTCCCCAACACCACTGCATGGCAAAACTGGGCCTAATGACGACCCTCTTGAAAAAAACAACAAAAAAACCCCCACATTCCACAAAGAGAAGAGAAGATTGCAAGAATAAACTTGGGGTCTTCTGGACTATAACACAGCAGTGAGAGACCTCAGATTGGTATGGCAACGCCGAGAAAAACTCAGCAAAAAACCCCCAACCCCCACATTTTATGGAAATAAGATACAGAAAGAAGACAGACATAAGGGGAAAAACTAATCAGGATGCCTGGTTCTCCCGGGTTTAAGAATGAGACAAGTATTGTGACCCGATGCCCACTTCAAATGGCCACAGGTCCTGTATTCGGTGCTTGGGTGAAACGCATGTTCCTCAGAAATGTGTGCACTTGCTGTAGCCACACAGCAAGGGCACAAAAGGACAGTAAGCTCAGATTAAGGATGCTCCTCTTTGATGTTTTACATCATCAGATGCTCTCAGCCAACATTTTACAACAGACCATGAGTGGGAGAGCCATGCGTGCATCCTATATGCCCCATGTTCCCAGTGCGGGTTTCTGACAGTGGACCTTTTTGCAACATATCAGAATACTAATTGCCTCAGTACTGCTCCAGAACAGGAATAGGACCAGGCTCACTGGTAGGCGCTTTCTTAATCACATGGGAGGCTCCCCTCTGTTATGCATTTCCCCCAATCTCTCTCATACCGAAGGTTATCACAAAGATCCAGTCGAACGATGCCCGAGTCATCCTTATAGCCCCAGCATGGGCCAGACAGATATGATTTCCCTGTCTTTATCGAATGTCTTGTTGATCTCCTTATCCTCTTCCAGTTTATCAAGACCTCCTTTCTCAGAATGCAGGCACCCTTCTCAATCCCCAACCAGAAATGCTACACTTCAAGGCATGGTTTCTCTCTGGTTCTCGGAGGCAGAAAAGAGATGTTTACAGCAAGTGAGGGATGTCTTGCTTCATAGTGCATGACAGACTACTCTCAGTACTTACCTGCAGAAGTGGAAACATTTTACAGCAGGGGTGAGCAATAATTTTTGAGTGGGGGGCCTACCTGGGAGGAGCAGAGCCTTGGATGCAAAGGGTGGAGCCTTTAAATAGCAGGAGTTGAAAGGGCTCGTGCCTCCCCTGCGGCTCCCAGGAATCATGTTAGCTGGCAATTAGAACTGCAAGTCCTTTCAATTCCTGCTATTTAAAGGGCTCTCCTCCTGGCCTCATTGCTAGTGTGTTGTCTGGGAGCTGGGGGCACATCAGCACTTTCAACTGCTTCTATTTAAGGGGCTCATGCCTTCCCTGGTGCTGTTGCCTG